TTATAGCTCGCCGGGGTTTGTAAGTTATGTCGAATGGTAAGAGCTCAATGGCCCATTTTGCAATCCTGCCCGTTGCGTCGCGGTTATTTATAATGTCATTTAGGGGTACTTCGGAGGCCACTGTTATAGAACACTCTTGAAAGTAGTGTCGGAGCTTCCGGGATGCCATGAACACCGCATACGCTATCTTTTGATAGTGCGGGTAACGGGACTTGCATGGGGTTAAAACAGTGGATACATAGTACACTGGTTTTTGAAGAGGGAATTTATGCCCTTCTGTCTCTCGTTCTACGACGAGCATCGCGCTTGCTACTTAATGTGTTGCCGCGATGTATAACAACATAGGTTCGCCCAGGTTGGGCGCAGCCAGGACCGGATTCGTTGCCAATATGGTCTTTATTTCTTCGAGTCCGGCAGTGGCAGCATCCGTCCACTCGAAGTGTTCGGTGTGCCTAAGGAGGCGATAGAGGGGCAATGCCTTTTCTCCTAGGAGGGAGATAAAGCGGCTGAGAGCCGCCACGCCTCCAGTCAATTTCTGGATTTGTTCGAGGTTTTTTGGAATATCCAACTGCGATAGGGCTCGGATCTTGGCCGGATTTGCTTCAATTCCTCTACCAGATACAAAGAAGCCCAAGAGCTTTCCGGCTGGTACGCCGAAAATGCATTTTTCCGGATTCAGCTTGATGTCATATGCTCGGAGGTTGTCGAATGTGACCCTCAAGTCGTCTACTAGAGTTTCGACGTGTTTGGTTTTGACGACTACGTCGTCTACGTATGCCTCTACTGTTTTGCCGATCTGGGTAGCCAGACATGTCTGAATCATGCGCTGATATGTTACGCCGGCGTTTTTAAGTCCGAAGGGCATCGTGTTGAAGCAGAATGGTCCATATGGAGTAATGAACGTCGTTGCGGCTTGATCCGCTTCTGCCATCTTGATTTGATGATAGCCGGAGTATGCGTCCAGGAAGCACAATGAATCGTGCCCTGCAGTGGCATCGATGATTTGGTTGATGCGGGGGAGGGGGAAGGGATCCTTTGGGCAGGCTTTATTTAGATCTTTGAAATCGACACATAGGCGCCAGGATCTGTCCTTCTTTGGTACCATTACCAGGTTTGCTAGCCAATCCGGATGTTTGATATCTCTGATGAATCCAGCTTCCAATAGTTTGGCTAGTTCTTCTCCCATTGCCTGTCTTTTGGGTTCGGAAAATCGTCGAAGAGCCTGTTTGACTGGCTTGAACCCTTTTAGGATGTTTAGGCTATGCTCTGCCAGCCTGCGAGGGATTCCTGGCATATCTGAAGGATGCCAGGCAAAAATGTCCCAATTTTCCCGAAGGAATACTCGCAGCGCGGCGTCTACATCAGGGTTCAACTGTGCCCCGATGGAGGCCGTCTTTGTCGGGTCCGTTGGGTGGACCTGGAATTTTATAATTTCGTCCGCTGGTTTAAAGGGGGTGGACTTGGATCTCTTATCGAGTATCACGTCGTCTCTGTGCACCGTAGCGCGCAGCGCGGTGAGTTCCTCTGCCGCTAGGGCTTCGGATAGTGCCTCCAGGGCTAATGCAGCTATTTTGTTTTCGGCACGAAGTGCATTGTCCGGATCACTAACGAGAGTGATTATCCCACCGGGCCCAGGCATTTTGAGCTTCATGTACCTGTAATGGGATACGGCTTGGAAAATTGTGAATGCCTCTCGTCCTAATATAGCGTGGTATCCGCTGCTGAGCGGGGCCACTTGGAACGTGATTTCTTCGGACCTGTAATTGTCCGGCGAGCCGAACACCACATCGAGTGTGATTTTTCCGATGCAGCATGCTTCCTGGGTAGGGATTATTCCTTTGAAGGTTGTGCTACTTCGCTGAATGCGGCTCCAGTCTATTTCCATTTTTTGAAGAGTTTCCTCGTAAATGAGGTTCAATCCGCTGCCGCCATCCATGAGTACCTTGGTAAGTCGAAAGCCGTCCACTATTGGACTGAGGACCAATGCGGTTGGTGTTCGGGCTGTTCGGAATTTAGGTTCGTCGCTGGCGTTGAAGGTGATGGCCGCGTCGCTCCAAGGATTTGTTGTTGCTACTTGGTAGACTTCGGCAAGGCTGTGGATCGTTCGTTTCCGCATATTGTTTGATGCGAAAGTCTCGAAGACGGTTGATACCGTACCAGTATTGTTGGTGTGGTTTCGCGGGGCTAGAAGCTCCTCGCCACTTTTGGCCACCTGCCGTAATATCCAACATGCACGAAGGCTATGTGTTGGGGTGGCGCCCTTGGTACTGTGAATTGTACAGGGTTTGCTGAGCCATCCATCCAGTACTGTTCCGTTCCCTTTAAGGGGCTTCTGTTTTTTGGTTCCTGTACTTGGTGCCTGAGTGTAATGCACCCTTTTGTTGCGGACTGGGGCTATGTTCGGGGCCGGATTATCCCAAAACCTATCTTCGGTTTTCCGGAAACTTTCTATGGCACAGTACTTTCGCACTATGGATGCCAAGTCGGCGAAGCGCGTGATTTCACGATGGCTGACGGCGTTCAAGATTCCCCTGTCCGTGCAATTGTTGCAAAAGATCGAGATTGCATTTTCCTCTCGGCAGTCCTTTATCCGGTCCATGACCAGGAGGAATCTGGCCCAGTAATGATGTACTGTTTCGGCTGGCTCTTGCCGGATTAGAGATAAATCGCATATATCTGGACGGGCGGGCCTAATTGAGCCCGGGACCCTGCCCATCTCGAGGCTCAAGGGCCGAGAAGTTTCCGAATTTGGAAGCTTGGAAAGTGGAACATTGTCCAACGGGTCCGGTCTGATGCCTGACTTTATGTTCAGTGCTTGATCGGAATCCGCTCCTCCGCGGGAATCCGGCATGGAGGGTTCGGTAGCCCGGACACGACTAGTTTTCAATATGGGAGAAGGATCGTCGCGATGTTCCTCTACCACCGTGACGTGGTGGGTAACCTGGGGAGAGTTAATCTCTCTCAGATCGGTTTTAAGCCCGATCCGACTGTAGTCTGTAGCGACTCCCAGGGCGGCGATCTGATCCAAGAGTTCGTTTACAGATGAGAGCTCTGCTGGATCTAACTGCTCGGCGAATTCCGAGTTGACGTGAAGATTGCTCTCGATGACACGAGAGGTCATCGTTGAAGCGGTGGCCGGACAGGCGGTCATAAGAAAACCTCCTAGCCGGATAGTTTGGCCGGCGGCCAAGGCTTCATCGGCGAAGGTGCCGTCCTTGAAGACGGGAAGAGGCATCCTTCCTATCGGTGACGGCACAGAGGAACTCTCAATGAAAGCACCAATGTCGGTGTCAAAACCGGCGGATCTCGGGTAGGGGGTCCCGAACTGTGCGTCTAGGCGGATGGTAACAGGAGACAAGGGACACGATGTTTTACCCAGGTTCGGGCCCTCTTGATGGAGGTAAAACCCTACGTCCTGCTTGATTGATATTGATATTGTGGATGTTTACAAGAGTGGATCTACCACGAGATCAAGGAGGCTAAACCCTAGAAGCTAGCCTATGGTATGATTGTAATGGTTGTTGTTGTGTCCTACGGACTAGAGCCATCCGGTTTATATAGACACCGGAGAGGGCTAGGGTTACATAGAGTCGGTTACAATAGTAGGAGATCTACGTATCCGTATCGCCAAGCTTGCCTTCCACGCCAAGGAAAGTCCCATCCGGACACGGGACGAAGTCTTCAATCTTGTATCTTCATAGTCTTGGAGTCCGGTCGATGATGACGATAGTCCGGCCGATGATAGTTCGGCCGATGATGGTAGTCCGGCTATCCGGACACCCCCTAATCCGGGACTCCCTCACTAAGGGATATCTTTCTACTGGAGAACCAACTTCCTCGGTTGGTTCTAGAGCTCTTACGGACTTTTTTATGCCATCTCCTACATACGCTTTTGTGGTTGGTTATGCAGAAATTTTCAATGTCACCCCTTCATCAACTTCAGATTCAAACACAAGGATCACTATGGATGAACTCGATAAGTACAAGCCGCCACATCTCCTTGGGCTCCTCCGACACTATCAGATCGGCAATATGATTGACGACGGTCGTATTGACAATCTCGCATACTTCTCCTCAGCCAGTAGTGCCATTGAGCTGGCGGAACTCGGCATCAAGCTGACCGCCACCAACAAACCATGGTTCGCAGACATGAGCATCCACATAGACCACCTCTTCGGCCAGCTCTCCCTGGCGCCATTGTTCATAGATGACGTCACTGCTTGCTAACTAGTCAACATGGCAGTTTACGAGGCGTATAGTGGCTTGGGTATGTGAAGAAGATGAGGGTATAGTAATTGACAGGTGGGCCCCACGTCTCATTTGCCACATTAGTTGGTCAAAGTTGTTGATCTTCGAACCCGACAGGTGGGGTCAACCTATTGTTTTCTTTGTTTTCGTGAGCAAATCAGACAACTAGTGATCCGCGTTATAGGTTAGACGCAAAGTTGATGGTTTTTTGTGCTCTAGGACAAGTGTGATATCAAGTTGTTACTCTAGCCCAACTGTGGTGGTTTTGCGTAAATGACTCACTCTAGTGGAGATCGGATCCACTGAAAAGAAGGTTGCATGTGCACTTGTACAAGTTGTGCCTGCAGTGATAAAATAATAACTACTAGTACTAGAAAAATCTGCACTTCCTGAACCAAGACACGCAGCTAGCGCGCATTTGGAGGTCAGCGCCTTGATCGGCTACAACGTAACAGCAAGGCCACATGCTCGATCAGCCAGCTACAACGTGCTAACAACCGACGCCAAACAGGCAAGATTCAGCTTCCCCTTTCCGTTTCCTGAGATTTCAGCCCGAACCTGGACGCTGCGACTTGTACGCAAGTTCTCCGCTCGCTCCTACTCGCAGCACTGCAGGCTTCATTCCAGAGGTAGTTCCTTTCCTGAATTGGGTTCCTTGTTTATTTCTTGATTCTTGTCTAGTTTTTGTGTGAAAAGTTAGAATCTTGCTGATGTTGGGTCGCCCGTGATTTCTACCGACAGGTGTTGGCGCCATGAACCTCACTGGTATCAAGATCCAAGAGATGGTGAGGAATACGAGGGAGAGACTGGAGGCCGATTTCTCCAAGCTTGGAACCAAGATCCACAGGTTCCCACGAGGCTTACGAGGGGTCAACGAGCGCTACATCGTCCCGAGCTTCGTGTCCCTCGGCCCGTACCATCATGGCTCACCGCACCTGCGGGAGACAGAGGAGTTGAAGCACGCGGCAGCCCACTACTTGTGCGAGAAGTCAGGCCGCTCAGTTGAGGAGGTCTACGGCAAGATCCTCTCCATCGGCACTGAAGCCCGCAGCTGCTACGCCGATGGTGCAGTGGCGAAGTTCACGGACGCTGAATTTGCGGTAATGATGTTCCTCGATGGTTGCTATCTGCTGCACTATATGGACATGGATTACCAGTATGCTTTATTGTACAATCGGATGACCCTGTCCACGGGACCTTGCATGCTAAGAGATATGTTCCTGCTTGAGAATCAGCTTCCTTGGTTGATTCTAGAGGCTCTTACGGACTTTTTTATGCCATATCCTGCATACTACATTGTTATTGGTTTGGCGAAAAATTTTGATATCACCCCACAATATTTATCAGATTCAGATTCAAATGGTGCAAGGGTTTCTGTTGACGAACTCAAGATATACAGGCCGCCACATCTCCTTGGGCTCCTCCGGTACCATCTGATTGGTGATATGACTGGAAAAGATCATACTCACAGTCTCACTTGCTCCTCACTAGCCAGCAGTGCGACTGAGCTCGCGGAAATCGGCATCAAGCTGACCGCCAACAGCAAGACATGGTTTGCAGACATGAGCATGCAAAGAGACCCTATCTTGTGCGGCCAGCTCTCACTGGCACCATTGTTTATAAATGATGCCAATGCATGCTGGCTCGTCAACATGGCAGCTTATGAGGCCTGCGTGTCCAGCACAACTCCAGCAGATGGCTTCGTCATCAGCTCATACATCTCCATACTGGCAATGCTCGTGGACAAGAAAGAGGACGTGCACGAGCTGCGGACGAAGCACCTCGTTAACAGCTTCTTCAGCACCCATGAGCTGCTCGTTTTCTTCAAGGACCTTGCTCGCCACATGCGCCTCGGCTACCGCTACTTTGTCATCACGGAGAAGATTGAGATGTTCAAGCGTGAAAGGCCTGTGAGGATCGCCGTGCATAGGTTCGTATACAACAACTTCAAGACGATCATCACTGTGCTCTCTGTTGCTGGTGTGCTCGCAGGTATCTTCAGAACCTTGATGAGTCTCAAGCAGCATCAGCCGTAGCGGTTCGCGGTGAAGCATGTGCGCTGTCAAATTATTTTGTGATTCATCTACAGTTTTCGTGCTTATTGCAGTGTGATCGATGTCGTACGTACGGACTCCATGTGTAAAATTATCCCATCACATCCACCTTGTTTTGATCCCTTACTAGATCTACATGGTGTGACATATCCAATCACAGTATATGTATTATGTATATCCTGTGTGTATACCTGCTTGTGCTATCATTAGAAATCTGTCTTAGTCAGCCCCTTCCCTTCGATCGCCTCTTAGTTTGGTGTGTGTCGAATGCACCTGTTTTCCAATTCTACACATGTTTATAAGACGATAATCACAGATATAGCATCCTGAAGTCTCTTCTCTTGGATCATCGATTCGATCTAATTGTACTATTTTACCCAAACGGAGGGACTGGACTTACCACCGCCACTCTTCTTATTCTCGAACCCTGTTTGACGGTGTATCCCCAGAACAGATAGTGGACAATCCATGCTCATGCAGTTTTGACATGGATAGGAAGATACACATGGATGGACGTTCGCTAGTCAGACTAAGAGATTCCAATCATTTCAGGTCGATCTCAAAACAATACAACACCTAAAAGATATAAAACCAAGGGACCAATTGAAAAGCAATTGCGGCAAATGATTCGGGTTATTGCAGACATGCACATATTAACAGCAAAAAGAAAAGGTAACACAACACAATCACAGACAGTTTGTCATTCAAGATACACATTTAAAAACAAACACCAAGTTAGAAAGTGAAAAAAAAACAGGTCACACAAATGAAGATGGTCACACAAAAGGAGTACTGAACTAGAATGTCACCAGTAGAGAATGGCTTCTAGAGCACAACATGGAAATAAATCCCATCAGAGCCTGCCTCTATATATACTGTCAGAATACATATGCTGGCTCTCGCTTATTGGATGGGTGGATACTACACTGGAAAATCACCCTCTTGCAATGTTGGCTCCATTTTACAACGCAAATCGGTCCCAGACTACAGCAAGCCGTGCTCATTTACCTAACCAAAGGGAGCTGCCTGTGCAAAATTAGAACTGTGAAGTGCTTGCTTGGACTCTGCTGTTCTGTGCGCTCTATACTCAAACATACTATCATGCAATGTAACATATCTGTCGTCCTCATCAACTCTCACATGGTATCAGACTCCTAGCCCGGGCTAGGAATCTGATACCATGTTAGAATTGATAAAAGACGACACGTACATCTTCATTGCGAGACAATAGGCCCAAATATATAACACACAAGTGCAAAAGAGACCAAATCAAAGACAACACATTACTAATCCTGTACAAACTAACCACAGCACAACTGATGTGCTACAACAAACAAACTCCTACATGACACACAAATGAATCCTAGACCAGTCATGTTCATTTACCTAAGCAATCCATAAATGTTTGTACAAAATTAGCAATGCGGAGCAATCGATTGGACTCTGATGTTCCTCGTGCTCTATATTCAAACATACCACCATACAATGAAATATATGTGTTATAATTTTCTACCCAACTTGGTAATCAGAGCCATAGCATAAAGGGCTAAAGCTAAGATATCTAGTTAGGATTGATAAAAACAACACATGTTCACTGGGTGACAATATGCCAAAATATAAAAAAGAGGCATACAAGAGACCCATCAAAGACAACACATGACCTAATGTTGTACTAAGACCAGTGACATAAACAAAGCACAGCTGATGTGGTGCTAAACTGGATACAGATAAAGTTGCGAGGATGTGATGCTACACTACATTCTAATAAAGTTGGCAAGAGCACAGCACTTATAAGTGATATCCTGCTTCATTCACTATATAAGAAACAAGAGAGTTCACAAGCTTTGGCCTATTTTTTTCAACAATTAGCCATATAATGTGTTTATTTGGACCTCAGTGTCCCATATATTTGGTCTACCATGTAAATATGTCGGTATGTGTACTTCAATGGTAAGCATTGTATCAAAGCAATAACCAGAAGATACCACTGATGCATTAGCATTGTAATTTGTAAGCCAACAAAGCTATATAGGAAGTACAAGTACACAGGGAACTAAATACAAGACTACTCCACAGGCAATGAATAGCATCCTAGAGCACAAACTAGAATGTAAAACAGTGCCAGTTATAGTGCAGTGAAACGGCCAGCATGAATAAGCTACAATCATTACTGTAAAAAACAGACAAGCAAGATAGTCATAGAATGTCTACACTACTGATCACTAACAAACGAGGCCTAGCAGAATGCACAAGCAAGAACCAGAACACCACAAGAGCAAGATAGATTATACCAAAATCATTACAAAACAATAATATTAAGACACAACAGACAGCATATCTCACGAAGTAATAACGCGGAACAAAATTCCAACAAAGATCTATTCTTCACATGATTCAACACATGAAACACCATCATATCTCATAAGATCCACGCTAAACACAGAGTCTTCATGGGCAATTACCAAAACAGGGACGGATACCAAGAGCAAGCAGCTAAAAATGTAAACGGGTTCAGGTAGTAACGGCAGAGAAACGCCCTGCGCGGTCGGCCTGCAGGCCTAGAAGCGGAGCTTGGTGAAGAACCACCTGTTCTTGCCGGTCTTGAACCTCTCCTCGAGCTTGGCCTTGGCGGCCTTGGCGGCGCCCACCTTCTTGTCCTTGGAGGTGAGGGAGTCGGGCGCGCCGGAGGCCACCTCCTTGAGGTCGACGTCGAGGGTGTAGCGGGTGGGCATGAGGTGGGTGAAGTTGACGAGCTTGAGGAACACCTTGACGCGGGACTTCTTGGCCGTCTTCTTGGCCGAGTCCTTGCGGATCACCTTCTTCGGGTACTTGGCCAGGCCGGCGACGAGGCAGTGCCCGTAGGGGCGGTCGCGGGTGCCCTCCTCGAACACGCGCACGATCACCGCCTTCTTCCCGGCGTACCTGCCCTGCAGCAGGATCACCGCCTTGCCGGGCTTCAGGAACTTCACCATCTTCGCCTCCTTCCTCGAGCTGCGCCGCGCCGCCGCCGGTGGTGGGTTTGGGGGAGGGGGTTGTGGGCTGTGGGAGGGAGAAAGCGGGCGGCGGGGGTGGGAAGGAGATTATATAGCTTGGCGGCGCTAGGGTTTCCGTCGTGGTGTGGGGGTTTGGACGGTTGGATCTGGATCGGACGGTGGTGGGGGCACTAGGTTAGGGATCACGGTGGAATGGGCTTCTGCTAACAGGCTATATATGGGCCTATAAGGGGCTTGGGACATCGTTGTAGGGCCGTGTGGCTGGTTGCTACGCCTAGAGATAAAGGGCCGTGACCCTGTCCCTCAAAAAAAAATTACTGCCCATTCGCCAAAAGAAAAGTTTATTTGGTCGCTTTTGCTAGTATTCTTTTCCGAGAAAAACTTCTGATGTATCCATCTTTAATCATGGTAATATAACAAATATCAGAAAATAATAAAAATAATATCCAAATCCATAGACCACCTAGGGCCGGCTACAAGCACTAAAGTGAGCTAAAGGTGCGCCGTTGGCATCGCCCCTCCCTTGCCGGAGCTGAGCAAAACTTGTTGTAGTAGACCGTCCGGAAGTTGTCTTGCTAATGCCTCGTAGGACCAGCGTACCAGAATAGCGACTGCCACCGATGAAGAGATGTGTAGATCGAAAGACACACGAACGTAAACAGACGAAGACCAGATCCGAGTAGATTTACCAAAGCCACCATCAAACGAATTTTGTGAGATCCGTCGCTGACACACCTCAACACACCCTCCGACGATGCTGGACACATCACCAGAACAGGGGCTGGGGCGGGTAGAATCTTATTCCATCTTCAGAAAGCCATCGTCGTCTAGTTTTCCCGAGTAGGACACAAACCCTAGAAAACTAATAGAAACATCTAAAAACAGGTCCCTCCCGCCGGCAAGGGCCAGGATCCACCGCGCCCCATGACCCTAGGGCCACCAGAGAAGAGGATGACAGGCGCCGCCATCAACGAGAGACGAAGGAACCCTACCTTTTTTAGGAGCGGCGGTGGTTGTGTGTGTCTCGCGTTTGCTAGTATTTGACTTTTGGCGGTCTCTATTTCTCAAAAAAAAAATTGACACTCTAAAAAAATTCATTTAAGCCATTTTTTCTTTTTATGTGTGTTTGTTTTTGTTTTATTTTCTTTTTATTGAGCCGTTTGTTTCTTTTGTGTAGTATGTGTGCTATACACATAAGTACTGCAATATCCTGAGCAAAAAAAATACTCCCTCCTTTGTATTAAATCAGCGACACTTATTTTGGGACGGAGGGAGTACTATGTGATATGTGTGTAGATTATGCTAGAATCCAAAAATTATTTATTATATATTTGTTCTTGCATTTATAGAAAATTCAATTTATGTAGAAAACTGAGTGCAAGTTTTTGTCATAATTTGTTTTAAAAAAATTATTTCTTTTTCTTCTTTAATGGTAATATATAAATGTCACTAATTCATTTTTCCTTAAAAAATTGATTTTGACTTTATAAGTTTACTGTATGGGGAGAAGAAGGCTGGAGAAAAAGGAAGGCGGCTAGGCCTTTGGATTCTGATCAGATGGTGTAGAGGGATTTTTATTTTGCAGAGATGGTGGAGAGGGATTTGACTGTTGGTTCAAAAATATCAAGTTGACCTTGTTTAGTTTCCCCCTTGTTTAGTTCATCTCGTCCAAATTATATTTGCTGACAAAGATCTTCTTCGAATTTTTAAATGTTCTCCGAAAATAGTGCATGCTTTGCCTCATATCGATGCATTTGTTACCTTCAGCTACGTGTCCATGCAGTGTGCGGTTGTGCATCATGCATGGTCAAGGACATCTATGTAATGTACTTCCTCCTCCCCAAAATATAAGGCGTCGATTGATTTTTTTTATCTTTGTTGCACAACTTTTACTATGAGTGTGAAACCTTTGAGAATACACAACGTCGTCTCGGGCAACCTACTCGTTGCCACGACCACGACGCTTGTGGTGGAGCAGTTGTTCCTTGTCGGGGCAATACGCGCCATCCAAGCCGACCGCCGCTCCATTCCGTGACCTTGATAGAACATATGATGGTTTTTTTTGTACTATCCTTATCCCGTGCCTTCTCTACTCATCCGGTCCTCGGTTTGCTATTTCGCAATTGGCCTCTCGTGATGTCCTTCATTCTAATGATTTTGGTACCCATGTTTGCCAATGTCTGCACTATTGCTTGCATGTATTTTTGAGTGCAAAGCATGAACGTTAGTCAAAGTCTTAAGTTGTGTGAGTTGTTCCTCTCTCTTTTATTTTGCAGTTAGGTGAAACAACCAAGTACAAATTTGTTGCATAGAAGGCCAGTGTACTATCTCAATTCGTTGTTATTTTGCTTACCTTCGAATTTTGCATTGTTATTATCATGGATGCCGTTGTTTCATGAAGTACATTCAATAAATATGTTGGAACTTGTTAGTCCTTTGTATCTTCCTCAATAACTCACGCATTACAATCACTCGCTAGTAGAAAAGGGGGCAAAGGTCCAGGCCGGATCAGCCCATTAGTCCTGGTTCAGTCCAGAACCGGGACCCATGGGGGCATTGGACCCAGTTCGTGAGCCCCGGGGGCCGGCCGGGCCACGTGGGCCATTGGTCCCGGTTCGTCTGGACCTTTTGGTCCCGGTTGGTGGGACGAACCGGGACCAATGGGCCTCGCTCCTGGCCCACCACCATTGGTCCCGGTTGGTGGCTTGAACCGGGACCAAAGGCTGCCCTTTAGTCACGGTTCATGATACCAACCGGGACCAATGAGGTGCCTATACATACCCCCTCGTGTAAGAGCAAAGCACACTGCTCTGTTTTTTCTGGCCACCGAGGGGGAGAGGGCTTGGTGGTGCTCTAGCTCACCTCCTATGCACACAAGGTGTTCTATGGAATGCCCGAGCCACACTACTTAAGCTTTCTCCTCTCCAAGCTCGACCTCCAAGCTCCATTTTCCTTAATATTGGTCTAGATTTAGTGGTCCGTCACGCCCCGTCCCCGTTTTCACCGTCGTCGATTACTCGCGCCGATCTCATCGCCGGCACGACCGTGGTGAGCCTCTTGTTCTTATCTTCTTTCTGAAAGGAAAAATATTCTTACTTGTATGTTTAGATAGATACTTGTATTATTTTCTTACTTTTATTATTGCATCTTATATAGTGCGATGGTTTTGGTATCCGCCCCCGTCGGCCCTCGTCCTGTCTATGATTCGGATGTGGTATATATTATCTTTTCATAACTATTGGTTCATTTATTGTTTATGACAATTATGTCGACCAACGTGACATAGATTTTATTTATCTAGGAGGTTGTTGAACCCGAAATTCCAACCGACCCTATTGTCGAGAGGTTAAATTTAGTTGAAGAAGAAAACAATTTTTTGAAGGAAAAATAAGAAAAATTGAGGAGGAGAAGATGATATTGGAGTTGCATGTTGCGGATGTCGTCAATGATCACAAGATCAAGATGCATGCAATGCGCTTGAAGATTAGAAAGATTAGAAAATATGCCCTTCATACCGAGGCTTGGTATCATTATGCCGTTGGATCAGTTGTTACCTTGGTTGCGATTATGATCGTATTTGTTTTCGCATTGAAATGTTTTACATAGTTTCAATGTATGGTTTAATTAATTTAGATGCTCTGCAGAGCTTTATTTTGTTAGATGAGAACTATGTATGTACTTTGGTTTTAATGTGATGATGAACTTCTATTAATTTGGTCACTTAATTATCTATTCATGATGTTCTGTAATGATTTTTGACACACTTAATTATATATAATGCACGCAGATGAACCGGTAATGGATGTACGGTGACAGACAAACCTTCGAGTATATTAAGGGCGTGCATGATTTTCTCGAAGTAGCTGAGGCAAACAAGCAGAATGGCTTTATGTGTTGTCCATGCCCTATATGTGGGAATACGAAGTCTTACTCTGACCGGAAAATCCTTCACACCCACCTGCTTTACAAGGGTTTCATGCCACACTATAATGTTTGGACGAGGCACGGAGAAATAGGGGTTATGATGGAAGACGGCGAAGAAGAAGAGTACGATGACAACTATGTGCCCCCTGAATACGGTGATGCTACTGAACATCAAGAGGAACCAGACAATGTGCATGATGATGCTGCAACGGGCGAAGCTGCTGAAGATCAAGAGGAACCAGACGATGTGCCCAATGATGATGATCTCCGACGGGTCATTGTCGATGCAAGGACGCAATGCGAAAGTCAAAAGGAGAAGCTAAAGTTTGATCGCATGTTAGAGGATCACAAAAAAGGGTTGTACCCCAATTACGAAGATGGCAACACAAAGCTCGGTACCGTACTAGAATTGCTGCAGTGGAAGGCAGAGAATGCTGTGCCTGACAAAGGATTTGAGAAGCTACTGAAAATATTGAAGAAGAAGCTTCCAAAGGATAACGAATTGCCCAACAGTACATACGCAGCAAAGAAGGTCGTATGCCCTCTAGGATTGGAGGTGCAGAAGATACATGCATGCCCTAATGACTGCATCCTCTACCGCGATGCGTACAAGGATCTGAATGCATGCCCGGTATGCGGTGCATTACAGTATAAGATCAGACGAGATGACCCTGGTGATGTTGACGGCGAGCCCCCCAGGAAGAGGGTTCCTGCGAAGGTGATGTGGTATGCTCCTATAATACCATGGTTGAAACGTCTGTTCAGAAACGGAGAGCATGCCAAGTTGATGCGATGACACAGTGAGGACCGTAAGAAAGACGGGAAGTTGAGAGCACCCGCTGACGGGTCGCAGTGGAGAAAAATCGAGAGAAAGTACTGGGATGAGTTTGCAAGTGACCCAAGGAACGTATGGTTTGCTTTAAGCGCGGATGGCGTTAATCCTTTCGGGGAGCAGAGCAGCAATCATAGCACCTGGCCCGTGACTCTATGTATGTATAACCTTCCTCCTTGGATGCGCATGAAGCGGAAGTTCATTATGATGCCAGTTCTCATCC